TTTTCCGTATGCATTTGTATCCAATTTTCAAAACGGGAACAATTTACGCGATTTTCATTAGTTCTAGAGAAAACTGGGGCCTGCGGGTCAAGTACACGTTAATTTATAGCGCTGCCTCAAATCGTTCGGGATTTAAAATAATGCGTTTGAAATCCAGCTTGACAAATACTTCCATTAACTTTAAATAATGTGTTTCTGTTCTTTTAGGCGTTTCCAATGGCATGTAAATAATTGAATATAACTTCTGATTCTGAAATATGGTCGACATCGAGACAAATCGCACAAATACATTGATATTTCAATATCAGCAGTTTTATTTAGATGAAATTCTTTTCCTTTGCGATCTTTTTGACGGATACATAGAGTATTGAACAAAAACGAGAGCCTTTTATAGTCAATCATCAGTCTGTTGTTTTCACAATTGAAGCAAACATTGCATGGTTACTAAACGTAGATGTTTGTTCATTAGGTTTCAGCGCATTTAAATCTTCGACCGTGCATTTCCAACGTTTCACTGGAATTACTTCGTCTGCTTACTCCGCGTAGTTCGACTTTGAAGAGGAAAAATTGTCATTATGTTTCCTTTCAGAATGTACGTATTGCTTACACGTATAAAGTGCTCTGACCTGGATTAATCTCAAACAAATTCAAGCAATTTCTTGTTGGCGAAGCCTTTGAGAAACAGTCTTTTATATATATTTTTGTAGTCTAGTCAAGATTTCGCATAAGGACATGTTAAATGCGATATATTATAAATATTATCTAGATTGGGTTTTGATTTCATATTTATTTTGTATTTTAATATATTTATGAAAATACTCAGACTCTATAGAGAAGGTATAAAAGGTTGCCTGAACCCGAACTAGCAAGGGCAGGAGCGGATCCTTTCTGGCAAATTTATATTAATCTGTGTTTCGGGAAAACACGAAAATGCTTTGCAAATCCAAGGTTTAACAAACGACTTCAATTATTTCAACTCTACTGAGATTTGCAAAAAATGGACGCAACAGGTAAAGTCCGACGGAATATGTATATTATTGCCTATCCACATCGGCAAAAGTATACACTTTTATGCTGATTTCCAGGAAATTGAACGTGACAAGGGAGGATAATATATTTTCCTAAGGTAAGAATTTGGGCAACTGAATCTTCCATGGGACGATCAGACAGACATTTCCAACTAAAACAACTAAATTTCAGTGTAGTTCAGTTAATTTAAGTTGTCGGCACATTTCCTATTAGAATTCCTCAGCGTTAATGGCCTCTTTTAAGTAATTCGCCTCAAAGAGGCGAACTTGATAATCTATTTTGTTTGCCACAAGACGTACGTATTAAGCACTGGTTTGGATTAACTTTCAGGAAGACTTTCGGAATTCCTCTTAGGAATGCCTGTATACCCTTTACAGTATAAAATCCAATTTTACCTGTTTCGTCTCATAGAGACAGCGCACAGTTTCTAATTACAAGTTTCAGATTTCCATGCTTCTCAGTGCTCATACTAACAAAATATATTGAGAAATTTCTCGTTCTGGAACTGAACTAAACATATTCGTCCAACCGTATTTTATTTCCGTTGAAACAAAGCATATCAATTTCGATGTCAAATACACACCTTCACACATTCATTTACTGAACAAATGCGACATTTTTAAAACACTGAATTATTAACTTTCTGAAGTGAAACTAGATGTGGTTTTATTACGACAGAAAAGGCAATTTACTGGAGGGTTCTGTGTGTTTATTACATAAGGTCACAGGTCGACGAAGTTGTTTCGGCATGTTATTAGGGCGTAGGTAGTACTGAAGCCGACGATTAAAACTTCAGATCAGTAAATTACTTTTGCGATTTATATGCCTGAGTTACCTTAATATTTCTATGGACAAAAATTAAACAAATATTTATAATAATTTTTTTACCTTCTAAACACTTTTATGGAGACGAATTTTGCAACATTAATAAAACGAGGGACAATATCAAATTATTTAAAATTTTCCGCAATTTAACTTCACAGGCGGACAGCGGTTATAATTTGAAAAAGTTTGAAATGAGCTAAAAATCCCAGTAGAATTAAATTCTGTCCTAATATTTCAAATAATTTCAAACTTGAAAACTCCTGGATAAATTACAGAAATTACGTCCTTGACTTACAAATTCTTAAATCCTCAGCCATTTACATCGCAAAAGAATCCTAATTCAATAAATATAATTTCATCTCTTTTCTTTAATTTAATAAACTTATGATAATACAATATTTCACTTCTGAAAGCCTGTTTCTGCTTTTTGGATACTACACATAAAATGCGGCGCTAAAATCCAATTAAGTTTCAGCCTATTAATGTTTATTTCCGCATTACTTTGACTAAAATTATGCAAATTATCCAACCGACTTCCGCAAAAACATAAACTTCGGTAAGTTACCGGGCCATTATCCGATGTCCTATAAAAGTTTATCGATGAATCCTGGAGGATCAAAGGGGAAAAACCCGAGAAAATATCAGATTGCAAATTTCCCAAAGCTCTTTGAAATACAGTGAAAAGCTCTTAGAACCGAAGTATTCGAAAAGGATAAAATTACGGCTCGGTTAAAATGGGACAAGAAAAAACACAGCTTCTGTGTTTAAAATGTACGTAAGCTGACTTCATCAAAAATATCCTCTCAAAAGCTGAATCCGTAAATTCACTCAAGACCAATGCAAACACTTATTTAAAGTGGCTTTCAACTTGTTTCAAAATTTGTCAGAGATGTTTTATTTTACTTTCAATGAAATTCTGTGCTTCGCTTATTATTTTCATTCTGAATATATTAAATTAAAACAGTTAAAATGACAACTTTCCACACTCTCTATTTTTTCTATGTATTTTTTTCACTGTAAATCTGCTGAATATTCAAAACGTTAGACCTTTGGGATTATTTCGTGACTTGAATTGGGGAATTTTTTGGGCCTTTAGGTCTAAAATCGTGGATAATCCTTCCTTTCTGATGCTTCGTTAACACAAATGACTGCTGCGCCAAGCCCCTCTGAACATGCGAGAGACACATGCTAGCGAAACGTCAGGAAGATGTTATTTTCCACGACAGATTAACGCGTGAAAAACTGGCGGGTTTCTTGCGCACATTTTCAAATAAAACACGGCTTAACAGTAGATTTTAATCAGACATTTTTTTGACACGAAATCTTTAATTAAGGTCGCTTGTGTATGTATAGAATGCCGTACAAAACAAAACATTAAGCTGACAGCAATCATATTGTAGGAACCTTACATGTTTGTGTAAAGTTTTGCAGTGAACAATATAAAAGCACACTTAAATTATCATTTTATGGCGTAATATAAATAAAACGTACATTTATGCCTGCAGTATATTTCCGAAGACGATTGACAGTATCGCTGGCTTATCATAATTCGCGGAATTGCCACGAAAAATTTAATGTCAATACCTATAAACCTCGCCACATTTCTTTAAGAGACCCATGTTTTCCTTATACGAGCCCTTAATTTTCCGGACTGTTGAACTTTTCCCGTATAGTTAAAAAAAGTCCATTGATGGGTTATACTACCAAATGTGAATTCATTTTATTTTATGAATAATTCAGAAAAAGACCCTACTTGTTGAACGGGGGCGAATTTTACCATCGTTACTTGAAGCTTGGGATTTTTCCCTTTTACCTACATAATTTCCAGCAAACACAAAATTTGAAACTGAAATTGCCTAAACTGCAACTGCACGATGTACCAATTGTAAATAAATGACTGGAAAAAATGAGTTGAACGAGCACTTTTGCATTGTGACATAAACCTTGAATATATTAACCAATATACAAATAGCGCACCGGTTTCTTCACTTCTGAAGGACGTCTGGCAGTTAAATGTTATGAGAAAATAACCAATGTGGAAAACTTTCAGACACACTAGGCAAGTGACCTATATAATTTCCATTAACTAGATAAATAAAGTGAGTGCGTATGTTGCCTTTGTCCGCAAAATACTTTGGCCAATTGCCTCAATTATCCGGCCTATTAATTTCGCTTCGATGAGAAAGCTTTTCGGCAAATTGATACGTTTGCGGAGTACCATTTGTTAACCAAATTTATCGGAAACCCAAACTGGTTGGTCATAATATATTTCAGCGAATGGTTTTCCCACCAACAGCAATCCATCGAATTGCTAACGGGTTATTTTCAACAAACGTGGTTTACACTGTTCATTTACTGCATTTGGCGTTTTGAACGATGTTAAAAGCCACGTTCATCAGCATTGCAATTTATTCCCATTAATTAAACTGATTTTGAGGCAAAAACGGATTGTTCTCATATTTTGCCACATTGTAATAGTGTAAAAAATGCGCTGCAATGGAGAAATTTAATTGTTTTCATAATTTGTTAGTGTATGACGGTCATTTTGTTAATTTCGCATAAATAAGGATTTCCGTCGGAAATAACGGGGCTATTCGATGAATTGAAGCTCGTCTTAAGGTATTTGCCTCACGTGATGGTCACCTAGAGAATTCCGGTGCGAATTAGATGAAATTAAGTTTATCATAACTCGGGGAAATATGACGCATACTTTATTTCTCTGGTCGACTTCGGCTTGCCGACGGCAAAAATACGGCGATGTGATTCGAATTTGGTAGAATCCGAATCTTAGTAATGCGAAGAAAAGCGAGTGAATGGTGTAAACGATATCGATCGCATACTGCGACACAACTGTTGATGTCTGCACCCAACAAGTGTTGGAGTGTCGGAAATGGAATAGTTAAGGGCGGAATTAACTGCGAACTTCAGCTTCGTTAAAACTTTCGTATACGTGAGAAATCAACTAAATGGAAGACCTGATTACGAGCTGCAGCTTCCCTAGGTAGAAGGGAAATGAATAGACCAATGGCAGTTGGGTTTGAGCGGAATGTTTTTCAGACGCAGCGGACGGAGTTTGGGAGTTTGATGAAAAAGAACAATAGTCAAAAACGTGCTAGTTGTTTACATAGATGGAAAAGGAAACTTACCACGTTTAGCGCTGATGTGCCCATAAAGACGTCTCAGATCGATTGCCATAACCGCGTTGGGGATCGCTGCTACCATGGTTAAAATAACCAGCACCAAAAGGAGAGGATGAGGCGACGCAAGCATCGGCCGTGCCATCCTGACCATGGCTGGGGCTCAACAGACCGTAGCCGACTGAGCACTGCGGCTTCGTGCAGTTTCACCTAGTTGCTTTATACAGGAGCAGCTTTATACAGCGCTGTTGCCGATCCGCGTGCGAATTGGTTTTGGGGGCGGTGCTGCGCCCCCGTAACTTTTACCCATTCGTGAGAGCCCGATGGAAGAAGACAACTCTTCCAATGGGTATTTTCGTCATGCAATTACCTACAGGGCGATTTAATCCATAGGGTTAACAGAAACATTCCAGGATATATTTTCATCCCCAAGTTAAACCCCGAAAAAACTCTTCGGGTTATAAAGTCATTTATTTCCTGTCGCCAGCTTTTTATTTGGAAGCACGACCTCATCATACTATTCTTTGAAAGCTCCCAAATTTTTTGAGGATTAAAATACTAGGTGAAACCCTTGTGCAGTTAAAAATGCTCCTCACTTAAACCAGGACAAGATAGAAGAATGTGAAATTATTGCCGCAATAGAACGGCTCTTTGAGGAATCTTTTTCATCTCAAAAGTGTACGTTTAAAACTGGACTCAAAACAGCCACTATTAGTGATACGATTCAATGGCGAGAAGACGACAATTTTCAAAAAATTCGTAACATGGTTCCTTACCTTGGCATGATTTGGGAGTACCACGGTTTTGAAGCCAGAAGATCTCAAAATGATTTTAAATAAAAATTACACTTCATGGAGTCACAATCCATTAAAAAAGTTATGTGCGACTGTAAGTGGGACATTTTTCAAAAAATTCTGAACAGAGTTCCTCACCTTGGAATTACTTGGGAGTACCAGCGTTTTGAACGTACAAGATCTCAATGTGAGCAGAAATAAAAATTACAGCGAGTCTCAATCGCATGAAAAAGTAATGTGCGAATTGAGTGGGTGCATTAGGTAAATGTGAAATATCAAGGCGTTTGTTTCAATGTGTTTGTTCAGTGTTTGTTCGTTTCAAATTTKCTCAAMAAAATCTTCGAAGTACCCCTCTCGTCAGAATGATTTGGGATTTGGRACGGTGGTAGCGTTTTGGAGCTAAGAAATCTCGAAATCCGTAGAAATATCAATAGCAAAGACTTGCCATCCGATRAAAGTGTTATGTGCGGSTATAAGTGGGTGCATTACGCAAATATATGAGTTTGGGGAAAACTAAGCCAGTGATATTTTGACCACGAGAAAGACGAAATRCTAAGACGATGCAAGACATTTTCTTGAGCTTGAAATTTTCGTATTGATGATGTGGTGACGTGATCAAATTCTAACATTTTTATAATCTGTGTTTACTTTTACTCTCTTCACATTTGACACACTTACACACAAACAGGGCAAGATTAGTGAAGTAGGAATAAATAAAAGTCGACCCCAAAAGCGGCGAATCTGACCCAGAGAAGGATATAGACGCATACAAAAGCACCGTTTTTGGCGATTACTCATTTTGGTGGTTTTTGAATGGTAAAAATCGGAAAATGCAGAATACACCAAATACTTCATATGGACAGCAGGATATTTCTGTCCATTTTTCATTCGACCGATTTTGATGTACTACCGCATCCCACCTATAAGCCGGCCTTCACATTTTGTAAATATTTCCGTATTACTAAAAACATTCAACATTCGTACGCTTAAAACATATTGAGATTTTTGTATAATGACAGCAAAATAATTCTTCGCCGCTCATTTCCAAGGTCTTGAAGGAAACAGGTCTAACTTCATCTACGCTCAATCGCATATTTAAAAATGAATAATTATCTTCGGCAACCAAACTCTTTTCTTTCGATTTTGACAATCTTTTTCACATACTTCTATCTTTTATCTATTCTACGATTTCAACCCTAAGTTTTCTTTATACTAACACTATGCACTTGCGAAGAAAACAAAAAGGAAGAAAAGCCAAGTTGCTTCAGGTTACATTTGTAGCTCAATGCTCTGTAGATGGAAGAGTCCAACATATGAACCTTCTGAGCTCGCATGTTATTGTCAGCAAAAGTGCCTGAACCGTAATTGCTGTTGTACTATATGCACGTAACTTTCGGCTGCAATACAGTACTGACATATCAGGTTATCCGAGCAACAGATCAACTTTTCACATTTTATTGACGCGTTTCATTCCATGTAAACATCGCCTGTTTTTACGTTAATAACCAATTTTTCTGGCTCAAATTTAGTTGCTGGGATGCTCCTACCCATCGCCAAACAACTGGTTCTTCCTTAGCTTCAGCGTGAGGATCACTTAAATAAAAAAAAACTTTTGTAGAGAGGCGACTTGTGAAAAAAATACTCTTTCAGAATTAGCAGGTCTAAGGAAATTGTAAAACACCTGTATTGGGGGCTGGAACTTAAATGAAAAGTTTGTCATATTCTATTTACGACCAACATTTCCTTGTAAAGAAAGTAGTTTTGTTCGCAGGATCTGCCACAAAAGCATTGTTCCGCTTGGTAAATGTTCTTCTGAGGCGCAAATGATAAATGAATCAAATTAATAAAAACATTCAAGTATGATATCCAAGAAAGCAGCACATTAAAATAATCTAATTCTCCCTGCCTATTTTATTACCCTTAGACCTTTGACAAATAGGCGGCTATCCAGGAATATTAAAAGCAGCAACGTTAGTATTAATACGAATAAAACCAACCTCTAAGGGGTGGGTTTGCTTCCGTTTAAGCTCCGATGAATTATTAACAACTATTAGCTATGCGGCTTTCTCCTGTTAATTGAGGATATAAATATTGTGGTTGATATTTACATATCGTTCTTCAACCTTTTATCCGATCTCATAAGCTAGCAGGCAATTAATAATTAAACCTAAAGCGTGTGATATTTGGAGAAATCAGAACACACAGTTACTTGATAAATTTACTCAAAAAATCGCCCAAGACGTTTGTTTACGGCTTGTTCAACTGTGCAAACACCAAAAAGATCCTAGTTTGCCGACGAAAACAGGACAATTTATCATTGCTGATGTCATAAATTTTAACCCATTGAGGTGTTATTCAGTTGGTAAAAGCCTCAAGTTTAATTTCTTTAGATGAAATGAAGCTGAGTAGAAAAATACATCGTGCTGATTAAATTTCATTTGCAATAGTCGAGTGTCGAGCAGCTTTATCGCAATTTTTAAAGAATTGCAACGCCAAGTGGAATGTTGCGAAGTGCTTTCGAACGTGCCGCATCTGAAATCTTGAAAAGTAATATTTAAGAAATGATTTGAACATTTATGCAACTGAATTGCCGATGGAAAATGTTACACTAAGGAAAATCAGTTTTTTTAATTAATTTTCGGCTTTTAAGAAAATCGTCCCACTCAGGCACTTGCAAATTGAATTTCGAATAATCGTAAAATTTCTCCTGTGCTTGTTTTCCGTAGGGAATATCAAAGCCACTTCCAAAGCCCGTGCAAGTTTCATTCTAAGTGAATTATCGGTCTTTCTTTTCAGCTGCTCGAACTAGGTTGCTAGGTGTAAAAAATAAAAAATATATTAAAGTCGCCTTAACGCTGTCGATTCGAACTTGGAAACCTCAAATAGGTATTCGTCAGGTATTAGCAACAGGAAAATAATATATGATATGATAAATTGAACCTTCCTTATCACATATTAACGGGAAGAGCAATAGCGCTCCTCAAGGCAGCGAAAATTTAAAACGCAAGAACAACGGTTCTGATTTACGATCAAAATTCAATTTCATAAGAACATAAAATACAAACAAAATAAGATTAACCCGAGCAATCCTTGTATGGTATTTTAGCCGCAATTTTACAAATTCCTTCAACATCATTCTTAATTATCTTTTGTGCAATATGTTCCCACCTACTCACGCTTCTTGGGGTAATTTATGTATTGGAGTTCAATATTTAAAAATACAATTTCCAAAGACACGTGTTACGTACGCTCTTGCCTTGAACGCAAATAATCAAGTTAATCAAACTAATTGAAACCGATAAAGCCAATAATCTTCGCAAATTCTGGAAGGGCCCTTTATTGGTGTATGTAAAGCACAAATTAATTGTAAACATGCTGAGGATTACATGGAATAAGGCATGCAAATTTCAGGTGGTGAATCCAAGGCTGTTTCCGGCTTGTAGACGGATTTTTGGATTAAACGCGGATTTTGATCAAATTTCGAGCACAGAGATGTATTAATAATATAGAATTTTAATATATAATGCGCTGTTGAGCAGGGAATAGATACCTCACTTTTGGTTGGCCTCTAAAAAGCCCTAATATTTACGACCTCACTCAAAGTAGTAAATGCTGTTGTGGATAACTTAATAATTTCGTTATTTTAGGGCTGATGTTTAAGCTTTAATCCAGCTCTGCTCAGCTTGTCCCTGTGTGTTCATAGCGGTAGCACAGATGAAAATCCCACGCTGCTCCCAGTATTTAACAGGGGAAAATGCCTTTAATTTACATTGACACGCCTAATTTACATATCGTTCCCTACATGTCAGCAATTTCGCATTGTGTTCAAATATGAAATCGAAAAACTGGTCTGATGTATTGATTAGTTTCCCGACTAATTCGATGAAGAAAAGGTCTATCAAATATCTACAATAATTTCGAGTTTTCTTCAGAAATAGGTGTTTAGGAGACATGCAACATGATCGTTAATTTGATGTTGCTCGTCTTTCGAATCGTAAATTTATACGTATGTATAGCAAGCTTTTATGTATTATTCATATCAGATTAGAAGTTCAAAGCACATAGCGCAGTCAACTGTGTCATTATATATTCAACAAGAGGTTTTTTCGGGATGAACCAATTTAATACATTATTTAATAAATGAGCTTATAAAAAAGTACAGACCGCAAGGCGAGCAGTTGCTTCTGAAATTTGCCTCAATATTGTATAATATAATACCAAACACGATAGTCTCTGTTCGGTAGTAAGGTGTGTATAATATCTGGTGATTTCCATTTTATTGAGGAAATCAATATTTTTTCTCTAGGAAATATGGAAACACCAGTCGCCCTCTGCAAGGGCGTTATTAAACTCGCTTGTTTTCTGTTAGAATTATTCCCCTGCAAATATTGATTAACTGCTTCTGTTAACTTGGTTCAAAATTCTCCTCCTGTCAA